CTCATCATACAATGTAATGATAGTTACCATCTCCTCATACAGTGATGTAACAAACAGTAACACCTCATCATACAATGTAATGATAGTTACCATCTCCTCATACAGTGATGTAACAAACAGTAACACCTCATCATACTATGTAATGATAGTTACCATCTCCTCATACAGTGATGTAACAAACATTCTTACCTCATCATACAATGTAATGATAGTTACCATCTCCTCATACAGTGATGTAACAAACAGAAACACCTCATCATACAATGTAATGATAGTTACCATCTCCTCATACAGTGATGTAACAAACAGTAACACCTCATCATACAATGTAATGATAGTTACCATCTCCTCATACAGTGATGTAACAAACAGTAACACCTCATCATACAATGTAATGATAGTTACCATCTCCTCATACAGTGATGTAACAAACAGTAACACCTCATCATACAATGTAATGATAGTTACCATCTCCTCATACAGTGATGTAACAAACAGTAACACCTCATCATACAATGTAATGATAGTTACCATCTCCTCATACAGTGATGTAACAAACAGTAACACCTCATCATACAATGCAATGATAGTTACCATCTCCTCATACAGTGATGTAACAAACATTCTTACCTCATCATACAATGTAATGATAGTTACCATCTCCTCATACAGTGATGTAACAAACATTCTTACCTCATCATACAATGTAATGATAGTTACCATCTCCTCATACAGTGATGTAACAAACAGCAACACCTCATCATACAATGTAATGATAGTTACCATCTCCTCATACAGTGATGTACCATCTCCTCATACAGTGATGTAACAAACAGCAACACCTCATCATACAATGTAATGATAGTTACCATCTCCTCATACAGTGATGTAACAAACAGCAACACCTCATCATACAATGTAATGATAGTTACCATCTCCTCATACAGTGATGTAACAAAGTGAGTAACACCACCTCATCATACAATGTAATGATAGTTACCATCTCCTCATACAGTGATGTAACAAACAGCAACACCTCATCATACAATGTAATGATAGTTACCATCTCCTCATACAGTGATGTAACAAACAGTAACACCTCATCATACAATGTAATGATAGTTACCATCTCCTCATACAGTGATGTAACAAACAGTAACACCTCATCATACAATGTAATGATAGTTACCATCTCCTCATACAGTGATGTAACAAACAGTTATACCTCATCATACAATGTAATGATAGTTACCATCTCCTCATACAGTGATGTAACAAACAGTAACACCTCATCATACAATGTAATGATAGTTACCATCTCCTCATACAGTGATGTAACAAACAGAAACACCTCATCATACAATGTAATGATAGTTACCATCTCCTCATACAGTGATGTAACAAACATTCTTACCTCATCATACAATGTAATGATAGTTACCATCTCCTCATACAGTGATGTAACAAACAGTAACACCTCATCATACAATGTAATGATAGTTACCATCTCCTCATACAGTGATGTAACAAACAGCAACACCTCATCATACAATGTAATGATAGTTACCATCTCCTCATACAGTGATGTAACAAACAGTAACACCTCATCATACAATGTAATGATAGTTACCATCTCCTCATACAGTGATGTAACAAACAGTAACACCTCATCATACAATGTAATGATAGTTACCATCTCCTCATACAGTGATGTAACAAACAGTAACACCTCATCATACAATGTAATGATAGTTACCATCTCCTCATACAGTGATGTAACAAACAGTAACACCTCATCATACAATGTAATGATAGTTACCATTTCCTCATACAGTGATGTAACAAATAGTAACACCTCATCATACAATGTAATGATAGTTACCATCTCCTCATACAGTGATGTAACAAACAGCTATACCTTATCACACAATGTAATAGTCTATTTTGAGAAAACAAATCTAATGAAGAACATGACAACCGGCTGATCAATACATGTCACTGTTAAAATCTACGACAACCAAACGATGATTCTAAGAACTTACACAGATCCGGGCCTATTTTTCTCAATCCTTTCTTCTTTGATCACTGTTTTATAGGGTTGTCAGTAGACAAAGATTTTTATTCTATTACCACAAATCTCTCTTGTAACCCAGTAAAACTACTTCATTGTAGTCCCTGACTATCCAAAGTGGCCCCCATTTCGCTGGCAAACAGTCGTATTGTCATGCTTCGAGTTTTAACTACTCATCGTTTAAAACGCTTTAAAAATCTTTGGATGTACACATTGTTTCTATATAGCTGACTAGTACTCTCCACAAGAGACCATTTTTACATAGATGATATTTTTACTTAAGATTATATGGACGAACATTTCTTAATCTCCTTTGATCGATTGATAGTCTTTCGTACCAGTATGAGTAGATTGTTATTTCATTTTGTAGAAATACAATACAATATTGTTCTGTCATTATTTTCTGAGAAGGTTGATCATCATTGTATACAACTGTTCTTATTTAAAAAATAAAAATAAAAAACTTGATATGGGATGTCAGGTTGCCTCAATACAAAAACTGAATTCTCCCTTTTAAACATACATTTATCTTATATTAAGTCATTAATACGTTTCTGGTAAGTATTTCTGTAAACATAAGTCAGGTAATTTACCGTAACGTAAGTTTGTAAATTTCTATACAAAAGTAAACAAGGTAAGGAAATTGACATTACAGGTACGCAAACATCATTTCTTGACTTAAATTACTTCGGGTTAATTTGAATCCTGTTTTAAGAATATCCAACGGTGCAAATAACTGTTTTATAGTATGATAAAGATTGTGCTTTGCGTGTGTCTGTGTTGGGGACGTGGTGGGGGTGGGTGGCTACAAAGTGCCATTTTATCCTGAAAATCCATTACTACTTTCCATCAAAATTGTGTTCTTTGTTAGAAATAAAAGAAAAATACATTTGTTTTTAAATTTGCCAAATAAACCTGATATATTCAACCAACGTAATCGAGCATGAGGAGGTCGTAATTGTCTAGGACCTTGTGTATTAGGGTGAAATGATTACATATGATAAATAAATAAAGAGGTCAGATGTATGTATAAAACTATTATTAATATGTTTATTGACTTAAGTTATGTAAAAGATTAGGTATACTTTGTAGAATTAAATGTAAGCCATGTTTTATCTCATCGATTTTCTGTCTAAATTGTACTTAAACAGTATGATTATAACTCTGTACCGTCAACACTGCAATGGTACGGTATAATGTCACAGCGGTAATATGCATTGCTGTACTGACACTGTCTCAGAATATAACGTCAAGTTGTTTAATGATCTAAATTATAGAATCTTGAAATAAATATGATTATAGAGTTTTAATCAATTTTAAAAATATAACAACAGAGTCTTTCAATAAATATGATTATAGAATGTTCAGATAAATATAGTTATACAGCCTTTAAATATATATAATTATAGTATTTAAAATTGGTTTGACTTAGAAGATCGACAGTAAATGCAGACATTGTTTATCGCTGTGTTTCAAACAAAAGACAGTTGTAACTTTGCGATAGCCAAGTTTTTATACAGGAAACATAAATTTGAAAATTATGATAATAAACAATTCTGTATGTTTGGAAGGGAAAATATTCAAACGACATAACATGATCGTTAAATTAGTGAAATCATGACTAAAGTCGTGTGCTTAAAGTATTGTCAGCATAAGTTGCACATTGGAATGTTCAAAATATGTCTTAATTGTTTTAAACTTGTCTATCATACATTTGATAATATCATCATTTAAATAACATTTCGTAGATATATAGATAAATCGAGGTTTTGATATTAACTTGAATATTACTGATAGATAAGACTGGAAAGTTTATTTTAAGTTAAGCTGTTCATGCTTTCAATAAAACGATCTTTCTAGATCCTCTATTCTGTAATGATCTGTGACTACAGATACATGTACAATAGTGTTACTTTTATAGAGAATAGGCGATCACTTATCACGTGACCTTGTTTACTAATCAATATTCATGTCAAACAAGTATACCTCCATACATGTTACAACAAACAGATAAAACCCGTACGACCAAACTTCTATATAACTTTGATAAATTACCTTCAAGTATTTAAATTGCCGGAACAATCGGGAGATAAGATGGTGTGACTTTCATGGATCGGTTTTATATTAAAGAAAATTTTCTTCATTGTATATCGCTAATAGGGTCTCACGTTTAGACAACGTTTGATAGTCCCTGGTGAATGTCAAGCCCTTTCCAATACTCAAACCATTAATAGCGATATTTACATATAGCTTTCTACAACCGTGAACAATCTCACTACCCTGCCGAGTCGAACAAAGAAAACTGGTATTTCAATATGTACCTAATAACAATTATCGCCAAGTTTAAATAGTGAATAAATGCCATTTTGTTTCTTGTATACAATTATCACAAAAATGTAACATTATTTTATTGATATATATATACGTACCATAAATATTATAATACATATAAGCATTGTTCTCACTGTTATGTGATTGTCTATTAACTTACCTTAGTACATACACAGGTAGATGTGTATTTTAGGCTTTACAGGTGCTGGGAGATATATAAACTTTATTGATTTATGTCATGTGTAATACTGTATATGATGCCTAGGTAATACCAACAGCCTTTCGGCTGTGACCTTACGTTCATTTCCCACTAGAACGACACCTATCACCTTCTCTGGATAATGTTTATTCAATGGTATTTGACGAAAATCTTACCATTGTGACTGAAGAACTAGATAAGACCCGCTTTGATCCACGAACTAAGTTGTGAGGAGAGGAGAAATACCATGCTGATAGCCACTCTAGAACTGGATTATACATTAATAATTTAACTGAAAGATAACATTTTTCATTTCAGCTCCTGCCTGTTTGGATTTGAGTGGATTATGCTGCAGTGTTAAGGATTTATCTGTCAACTTCATCGAGTCTGTGATTCAACATGCCAACTTTAACAGAAAACACATTCACGTTGTTCGTCATTCTTCCGTCGCAAAATGTGTGTACCCTTAGACGATTACTCTCCGGAATAACAGTGACGGATTTGAAATGTAATTTAGAATTAATGGCTGGATTTCCGGCGCACATCTATAAACTCGCATACCCGGATGGAGAAATGTTGCCAGACAATAAACGTCTTCTAATCAAGAAGACGGTTGATGATGGATATGTGTTAAGAATGGTTTTAGAAACTGAATGGGATTCCCTGTGCCAGGCTGTCGTACAAGACAATGTAGAACTCGTGTACAGTGAATTAAATCAAGGGGGCGTGCCTGCTGTCGATCACGTGGACAGAGCTAGCTGTGCCCTGTTCATGGCTAGTTATAGAGGACAAATAAGAATGTGTAACATGCTTTTATCTGTTGGTAAGTATATCAGAATTACTTCTACAGTAAATATAAATGTGAATTCTGGATTGATTACCAAAAATTCGCTTATTTGAGGCGATGTTTCATTGTAGTAGGTGGTGGATACCTCACTGAACAACATGTGGAAGGCCAATTGCATCCTTACAGAGCAATAATGGATAGATTTTATGCTCGGTGATACAACCCAAATACAACAATAAAGCACATTCTAGTAATGTTTCCTTAAGGAAATGCCCGTCAATTAAATCAAGTTAAAGAAAATAATCAAATAAGCACACAAGGCTCATATTTTATGATTTTTTATTTCAAAATGAATTACATTTTTCGGAACTTGATTAGTGTATTAAGTGCTTATAATATTTATGAGCATTAATTTTTTATGTTTTTGTTAACTATTCTTCGTTAGATGTACATATTAATTGACAGAAAATAAAAACCCATTAGATAATAATGTTAAACGGTATATTTGACTAATAAAGCACAATTTTCAAAGTGTGGTATTTGAAAACTTAAAATGTTATATTGTTCAATTTGTTGAACGGTTACTCAATAGAAAAGACGAAAAGACAATTTCTTTTTACAAAAACTTGAGGAATCAACAAGGGGAGTAACTCTATCTAGCTTGGTTACAAGAAAATTATAATTTATATTTCAAATGTCACAGTGTTATATCATTATATGGGGGTTAGGTCACACAATGAATTAATTGGAACATAATACCTGGGAATAATGACTGACACTGTTATTAGACTGACTGATAGAATCAGAATTGGATGTAGGAGTATATAAAACCTGATACCTGACTGCTTATTTTCTGAAATAATTATACTGAATGAGATCTATATCTTTTGTAACAAATGAAGCCGTTACTCCGGTGTAACTTAGCAACTGCAATGCAGGTTAATTATTCCACGTAAAACTGATTAAACATAGACGACACCGACATGTATGTCTTTTTACTTACACAGAATTTGCTTTGAATTTGAGATTAAGGCAATACCGTCAGTGCGTATGTAAATAAATAAACACTACGTTCACAGCTGATCCAGTAAAAAAGAACGGTATATATAATATCGGATAGCGCGCATACAAATTGTCAAAATGTATAAATATTGGAATATTGATTCATCATAACTCAAAGCGATAAAAGTACTGGATAAGGCATGTATAGGTTCTATTGTTGAGCACGTTTAATCGTTTGTAAAACGAGCTGTAGGGATTAGTATGAAAGTGCATTATCGGGACACGAGAGGTCAATACACAAGTATAGTTAATTTATTATATGTATTGTAGATTGAAATTACATATACCACAAACTATCACCATCTCACACGATCTTTAATTAAATCGATTCGATTTCCTAATGCATACTTATAGAAATTATGAAAGTTTAAGTTTCACATACATCAAAAATTACTTTATTCATTTGTTAACGTTTTATTAGCTGATAAATAGTCTTTAAAATTATTTGGATGGCATGACTTAAATCTTGTACTTCGATGAATTTCTTTTAGTTTTTGATCTTTTGGTAATTTGGGTTTATATTTCACGAAAATACTTAAGCGACCTTGTGCGGTTGTTTGTCATTCTACAGTTGCACACACACACACACACATCCACCCTCACCAACACACACACCCTCACAAACACACCCTCACACACCCACACACACAGCCACACCCTCACACACACACACACACACACACACACACACACACACACACACACACACACACACACACACACACACACACACACACACACACACACACACACACACACATATATATATATATATATTTATATAACTGTGTCTATAACTGTATGTTTGACAATTGTGCCTTTTATCCTCATGATTTCTTAAATACATATACCCTAAAAACTCGGAAATTAGCCGACCTCAAAAATAAGCATCTCCTGATAATATGCTTGTAGTTTCTTATATAAATATACTTACATATGCTTTCTATTAAAGAAAATAAGTCGCGTCCTACTTTAGGGGTTCGTCGTTACACATGACTCTTGTTTAATATTTCATATTTTTTATTACATGAATATGCAACAATACCATAATGTTCAAATACGGGGAAAACAGTGAGCCGTTGCTCTATTTGCTCGGAAATCAAGATAACTTATAAACACATTAAAAAAACCCAGTTAATTCAAGTGTATACAAGTATCTGACGTGATATTACTTGATTCCAAATGATGATGAGAATATGGTAAATATGGTGATGAGAATATGGTAAATATGATGATGGAATATGGTAAATATGGTGATGAGAACATGGTAAATATGGTGATGAGAATATGGTAAATATGATGATGAGAATATGGTAAATATGGTGATGACAATATGGTAAATATGGTGATGACAATATGGTGAAGATAATATGGTAAATATGATGATGAGAACATGGAACAGACAGATTTCTCATTTGTTTGAATGTGTGTTTTGCTGTTTGTGTATATCCTCTATACGGGATAATGTGTGTTTCGCATTTAAGGTTTTCCTCAAGTATTGGGTACAAAGGATGAACCACTAGAGGCAATTTTCCTTTGTCAGGATATATAAACACCGAAACCCATTTGGTGTCAGTAAAACCATTTTCTCACTGACAATTTTGTCCTAATGTGGTACATAAGTTCGATTATGTCATTTTAGCAAATAGGGACGATTTTCCATCTATATCACCTGCTGCGGGCTATAGTATATTGGATGTCTAAAATACGAACTTTTTATTATCATCGTCACGACAAATTTAATAGGGTTTACATAAACAACTCTACCTCATTGCAGTCTTTATATACCTAGTACAAGTAGTGTTTACTTTCCACTTATGGCCGTTGTTCACTATCAGATGAGTCGACAAAAGTAAACTGTATATTTATATATGTATTGAACGCTTCTATCACAGTCCAACGTTGTTAGATCATTGGTAGTGCTGTTTGATGGGTTTAAATCTTCACATATAATTTATATTGAAATTTTATATCATTGTTGTCACTAAATACGTGTAAAATATGTGCACCATCTTTAAAATTTCAATTATCTATCAAGTTTAGACTCATTTTTATTGTCAATTAATACCACTAAGATTTTAAAAAGAAGAAGAAATCCACATTCATCAATGATAAAATCCACTATACCCCGTCAACCCATCAAACACAATGAATAAAGGAAATAGTTTATCAAATAATGTCTTGGATACTTTCTACATTTATTAGAAGTTCCACTTGTTATTTGAAACAGTTTTTGTTTGAATACTAAAAGAAATCATTAATTTTAGCGGACAGCAGGGGACGGGCGGGAAGGGAGGAGGGGTTGATCATAATCAGCACACTCATATGCCCACCATCTTAAAACCAGTTAATTTATTGAGCATTCCTAAAAAAAAGTTTTCTGTTTTTTTTTTCTTCTGTTTTTAGAAACCACGAAATTATCTCATTTAATAGTAATACATTTTAATCCTAATCTTTATGTATTTTCTTAGTTAATCAGATGATCATAACGAGCTGTGGTGAATATGATCGTGATATGTTCTTGTAATTGAACTAATAAAAAATATATGATGTCATATCGGAGACAAAAGATATGACGTCAATTTAATTTGATTTCTTGAAAAAAGCTAGTGGATATAAAGTAATATTAAGAATAGGAAAAATGGCCGATATATTTAGGACTTGTGACACATACCAGAATACATTGCCGTCAGGTGTCCACGAAGACGTTCTTTTATATTTATCAAATATATAAACATTACGAAACTTATTGAATTATGGGAAATGTACACCTCCCCATCTAAACTATGCCATTTCTTTCGATCACACTTGGTTTTCCTCAGTCGTCTGCTGGGTTAAACATTCAGGCTCTAGAATCACCGACGAGTCTTGAAGGACGAAACAGCTGTATGATGTACCATCACTGATGAGTCCTAGAAGGACGAAACAGCTGTATGATGTATCATCACTGACGAGTCCTAGAAGGACGAAACAGATGTATGATGTACCATCACTGATGAGTCCTTGAAGGACAAGACCAGTGTATGATGTAGTATCACTGACGAGTCCTTGGAGGACGAAACAGCTGTATGAAGTAGCATCACCGACGAGTCTTGAAAGACGAGACATCTGTATGATGTAGCATTACTGACGAGTCCTAGAAGGACGAAAAGAAGGACGAAACAGCTGTATGATGTAGCATCATTGCTGAGTCCTAGAAGGACGAAACAGCTGTATGATGCAATTAAATTCATTGTTTGACTCTATCTAACTTTAGATTTGTATTAAATAGTGATATATACTTGTACAATCTTTGGTAAGCATGTTAGCCTACGTGACCTCTGGTGTACGTCCGAGGTGTGTGTGTGTGTGTTTTTTTTTTTTTTTTTGTTCATGAAACTAAGAAATGGACCAGTCAGTGCTTTCGTCAGTGTGTCTGATATGGATGGAATGCGCCGGACATTCCGTATGCTATTCAGTGGAGTTATCACTAATTACTACAAGGAGGCTCGAGGCAAAAACCCCACCAAACAATTAACAACACTAGTTATATGTGTAAATCATTAATCAATTTTACTTTATTAGTTATAATGTATTTAATATAGCTTTGTAATATTCCGGATGGAGCACATCGGTTATATCTGTGTGTAACATGATGGTGTCGGGCTTATTTCGATATGGAGAAAATTATGGTAAAAATCATAACTGTTATCATACAAAAGTTACCTGCTAACCTCAAACGCTATGGATATATCCTGAATTTGTTGAATATTAAAATTCGAAAATGTAAGAAACTAATGTTTACCCCGTTTCTAGTACTTAAAGATAATGCAAATAGATAGGAAATAATAAAGATATCAAATAACAGAAGTATTTAACACAATGTAATTAAGGGTTAAAAGCTAACGAAAATAAAAATAAATCAACAAACAAAATAAGATAAAGTAATCAGAAGAACATATAAATAAAGTTAACTTAAGTCAACTACGACAAAG